CGCATGCAAGGATGCTAAAGCATAAAGCTTACCGGGTACTCCAAGCCAAAACAAAAATTGTATTAGAAATCATGCATGATCCTAAGTATACAGAAATGCCGAATGCAACACATGCAAAATGCAACTATAGCAGGCTTGGCTATTCTAAACATGGCATATGAGATGCAACAGCTAACAAGTATTCAACTTTGAAATTGAAATACAAATGCAGTTAGTATGATGTGCCGAGACCGGTGCATGCAAAACAGATGAATGATGCAAACATGCTGTCATGCTGTATGCTAATTGAAATATGCCCTAATCTAATCATCATAAGCAGGTAAATAAAAGGGAAGAAAGACGTGGGGTTGGAAGACATACAACACACACACGCACACTTATTACAGTTGTGCCCTCGCGCAGAGGGTCCGAATAAATAGTACAGTCCCGAATAAAAGAATAGTACAGTCCAAATAATATACAAATTCCTAATTAATTAATCAATTTAACTAAGAAAGCTATAAAACTGGCGTGCAAGCCAGGGACTGCCTTGCTTCTGATGAATGATGCATATCTGGGCTGCCTTGCGCGGAAATCCACTGGGATGCCCCGATTAGCCTCTGTTTTGTGATTTTTCTTGGAAAGCGCGCCAAACTCCGGAAAGTTACTGATTCTTGATTTTTGCTGCAACAGAGAGCAGGAAAGGGGCATAGCAATGTATTTTCACAAATATATGCATGCCTCGATCCTCGTGCCACCAACCACGCATATCGATGCATGATGGCCGAGGAGTTGAATTGCACAATTCAATATAGAATGAATGTACATGAAAACACAACAAAACCTAATTCTATCATGGGTAATCCGGAATGTCGGTGACTGGGGAATTGAGACACGTTCCGTCACTCGGAGTACGAAACGTACCTCGTTTCCCGTGCCCGGATTAAATCCTATCCCGAACACGATGCAATATGCATGATATGCATGAAATACAACTAAGATACAATCCTAACATGCACTATGCTGTGAAAATGAAATGCCTCGAAATGCGTGCATACGGGCACGCAAACCGAGGCAATGGCATATACAATGCAATGTGGCTAAAATGGCATATAGGATGCAACATGGACTTATACTAACATGAGAGAGCCTCAGCCATACTCACATAAGAGGCCGATGGATGAGAATGAAGCGCCTCGAAATGCGTGCACACGGGAACGCAAAACGAGGCAATGGCATGGAAAATGATATGCAAACATGCTAATGGAATTTCAGCACTGAAATGTGGGGGAAAACAGCCCCGAAATGAGGCGAAAGTACACCCGATGCATGGAATAGTCCCGAAACATGAAGTTTGGCACCCGAAATGGCCTATAGCTATACCAAACATGCACAATATGGACATGCAATGAATAGACAGTAGCAAGGCAGCCCCAAAATAAGCATTTTTCCAGTTCAAAGTATGGCCAAACAGCAAACAAAAATAGGGCAAAAATAGCATGCAAAAATGGCCCTAAATATAAGGTTATGAAACAACTCACAGCTGCTGACCTCAAACAGATTAGGGGCCTTCTACAATATTGAAGAGGGGCCAAAAATATGATATTTTACAGTTGATGGCCAAGCCTAAATCAGTATACAAGTATGCTCAAAATGCCATGCAAGAAATGGGCCAAAAGATGGCCAAAGCACAAAGTATACAAAATATCCATAAAAAAGCCAAAGACCCTTAATGAAACATGAATAATGGACCAAAATAAGACTATTTTCAGTGCTGTAAAATGACCAAAAACCGAATCATAATAGGCTGCCACAACATGCAAGAAAAGGGGACCAAAAATGGATATAACATGAAGTAGCATATGGAGGTCCCAAACCATGAAAGGCCCTTAATAAAACATGAAGAATGGACCAAAATAAGACTATTTTCAGTTCTGTAAAATGACCAAAAACAGAAGCATAATAGGCTGCCACAACATGCAAGAAAAGGCGACCAAAGAGGGATATAACATGAAGTAGCATATGGAGGTCCCAAACCATGAAAGGCCCTTAATAAAACATGAAGAATGGACCAAAATAAGACTATTTTCAGTTCTATAAAATGACCAAAAACAGAAGCATAATAGGCTGCCACAACATGCAAGAAAAGGGGACCAAAAAGGGATATAACATGAAGTAGCATATGGAGGTCCCAAACCATGAAAGGCCCTTAATAAAACATGAAGAATGGGCCAAAATAAGACTATTTTCAGTGCTGTAAAATGACCAAAAATCGAAGCATAATAGGCTGCCAAGTCATGCAAGAATGGGGACCAAAGAGGGGGTATAACATGAAGTGGCATATGGAGGTCCCAAACAGAGATGAGCCCTTCTTCAATGTTGAAGAGGGGCTCAAAATAAGCCTATTTACAGTTTACATCATGCTCCAAAAAATATCACACATAGGCTAAAAATACTACGCAAGATAACGGTATTTAAGAAGGATATTGAAGCAAGTGCAATATGGGGGGCTCAAACAGTGTTGAGCCCTTAAGCAAAAGTGAAAAAGAGCTCAAAAGAAGGCCACTTTCAGTTGGGGCCGGAGCTCAAAACAACAAGCATATATAGCTAAGGAATGTTGCAAAAATATGCTTAAAAAGGGGGAAATGGTACTCACCCTTGAAAACAAGTCTTTTGTTGCTTCTTGGCTTGAGAAGTGGTGGCTCTTAGCTGCTGGAAAGCTCTCCAAACTTCTGGAAATAGAGTAGTGGTGGTGGTGCTTGGTGGTGATGAAGAAATGAGGTGTAGGACTTGGATGTTTTTGAGAAAATGAGAGAGATAGAGGGAGATTTGGATGCAAGACTTGAAGGAAATTTTTCTAACCCTTAATACAAGAGATGGCAGCTGGTTATATGGACCAAGGAGAGGGGGAGCATGGAGGGAAAGGGTAGGGGAAAAGGACCAAGACCTTTCCCCAAAAGGTGTCCCCCGGATGTAGATATTTCTGGGGGACAACAGCTATACAGCTGTAAAGTTCATATTGTGAGGATTAAGGCCGGCCAACTTTCAAAGCTGCAGGTGGCCGGCCGGCCACCTCCCATAGCCGGCCGGCTAGGGGTCAAAAAGGTCAAGTTGATTTTCTAGCCGGCCACCACAAAAAGGTGTCCTCCCAGGTCCCCTCATCACAACCCTGTGATTCGAATTTAAAAATTGTAAAACAGGAAAGAGAATAGGCCATTTCTAGGAAGGGGTCAAAAGGGTCAGGTGGAATTACTGGCCGGCCACCAACTTTTAGGATCCTCCCATATGTGTACATCACAAATATGTGGTTAAAAGTTCGAGAAAATGGCCCATGGGTGTTCAACATTGGCTCGGAAGTGAGAAAAACGGGTGCCGGAGGGCGAAAATGGAACATAACTGGTTGCCAAGATAATTGCTGGCCTCCCACCCTCCAGTGACCTTCCTGGTGATAAAACAGAGGTACCTGCCAAAAATGAACGAAAATCGATGCAAAACGAATGCTCGGGGGCCAAAACACGCAGTTCGGGGTCCCGAAAAATGGGCTGTTAAGCACCGAAAGTGGCGTTCGGCCACGAAGTGGGTTTCTCAGACCCCAGTGTCCCTCAAAAGGGAGCAAATAGGAAGTATGCCAAAAATCAGAGCAAACGGAGATGGTTAAGCGGTCCCGAACCGAGGCACACGGCCTGACGGCTCCGAAAACCGGGAACCGGGCTCCGAAATGGGCAAAATGGCCTACAGCCACAAAATGTAGCCCACGGCCACTGAGAGATGGTCCACGGGACCTCTCCCTCCTCTCAGGAAAAGAAACAGAGAAAACTGAGCCTGGTTCGCAAACCGAGGTAAGGCACAGAAGAGGGTTCGGAAGTCCGGAGGCAGGGCTCACGGCCAAGACTCTGAGACTTCTGAACGAGCATAATATGTAGTATCACCGAGCGCTCAACTAGTGACGTCTAAGTCTTAAGGTCGGTCAAAAATGGGGTGTCTACAACTCCCATGAGGAGGATGATATGCACTTGTCTGCCGTTGTCTCTGAGGTGAATCTGGTAGGTTCAAACCCAAGAGAATGGTGGATTGATACTGGGGCTACACGCCACATCTGCTCCGAGAAAAAGCTGTTTACAACTTTCGAACCGGTTACAAACGGTGAGAAGTTGTTTATGGGAAACTCTACTACCTCGATTGTTGAGGGGAAAGGAAAGGTGGTCCTGAAGTTGACGTCAGGAAAAGAGCTGACCTTGAACGAAGTCCTGTATGTTCCGGACATTCGTAAAAATCTTGTCTCAGGGTCTCTTCTTAGTAAACATGGTTTTCGCATGGTTTTTGAGTCCGACAAGGTCATTTTGACCAAGAGCGGAATGTATGTGGGTAAGGGTTATATGTTGGGGGGTATGTTTAAACTCAATGTAATGACTATTATCCCAAAGATGAACAAAGATGCATCTTCTTCTGTTTACATGCTTGAGTCTTCCAATTTGTGGCATGGTAGACTAGGACATGTGAACTTTGAATCTTTACGTAGATTAATCAAGTTAGATCACATACCATCTTTTAAGATTAATCCGAAACACAAGTGTGAAACTTGTGTTGAAGCGAAGTTGACAAGATCTTCGTTTCATTCTATTGAAAGAAGTTCAGAACCATTGGACTTAGTGCATAGTGATGTCTGTGACTTAAAGTTTATACAATCACGTGGTGGCAATAAATACTTCATCACTTTGGTTGATGATTGCACTAAGTATTGTTTTGTCTATTTGCTCAAAAGCAAAGATGAGGCTATTGACAAGTTTGTTCTTTATAAAAATGAAGTTGAGAATCAAGTAGGCCGCAAGATTAAGGCTTTAAGAAGTGATCGTGGTGGTGAGTAATAATCACCTTTTATTGAGATTGGTGCTCAATCCGGGATTATCCACCAAACCACGGTGCCTTATTCTCCTCAATCAAATGGGGTTGCTGAACGGAAGAATAGGACGCTAAAGGAAATGATGAATGCAATGTTGATAAGTTCTGGATTGCCACAGAACATGTGGGGGGAAACAATTCTCTCTGCAAATTACATTCCGAATCAAATACCCCGGAAGAATGTGGACAAGACGCCATATGAGTTATGGAAAGGTGTTAAGCTGGGATTCGATCTGGAACTCTGCAATTCCATGAAGGAACGCATCATCAGTTCTCTTTCTGGTTTGATTATCGAATATGGGGAGAGTCTTGGGTTTCAAGTCATCGTGCATTTAAGGATCACCACCACGCTCGGGCTGGGTTCTGCACAATCGATAGATTTGATGATGAATCTATTAGCCGCAAATGAGGCGATTATCGTGAATGATGATGGTAGTGTTGGAACTGTAGAGACGATGAGGACGAGGACGAGAACGGGGAGGGGTGTTTCAAAGGCCGTCATTGATGGGTTGAAGAAAGTGACGGTGTTCAATGGTGAAGGAGATGATGAAAAGTGCATTACTTGCGTTGTTTGTTTAGAGGAATTTGGGAAGGGAACCGAGCTTACTTCCATGCCATGTTCTCATCTTTTTCATCATCGCTGCATTGTGCCCTGGCTGGAATCACATAATTCTTGTCCCATATGTCGATCTATAGTTCCAGATTGATAATATTTTCATGATGATATGGTGTTATAACCTGATTATCGTAGTATTATTGGTTTCAAATTAGGTAGTTTTGATTGATTCTTGAAAAGTATTGTATTAGGTTCATTATTAGGGTTTAAGTTTTATTTTTCTTTTAATTGTTAATTGTTTTCAAATTTTCCTTTTGAATTGATTTTCTAACTACATAAAAGATTTGTGATATTCCCTTGTTTTGTTAGTTTAATTATTTGTATGTGAGAATACATTTAACAAGAGAACAAACGAATATATGGAAAACCTAAAATTTAGTCAATGAGATTGTAAAAAAAAAACAAAATTAGTAAATATAATTTTATTCCCTAAAAAAAAAAAAAAATCATGGCGTTACTCCTACTGTTGTGACCTCTGTGGTCAACCATGGCGTTACTCCGGCTGTTCCGGGAGGACCGCTCTGTCATCATGAGCGCCCAGAGAAATTTGCTGGGGTGAACTTCAAGAGATGGTAGCAAAAGATGCTGTTCTACTTGACCACGCTAAACCTTACAAAGGTTCTGAGCGAGGATCCTCCAGCCGTGGCAGAGAATGAGCCTGATAGGCAGAAAGTCATGGCGCTTGACACATGGAAGCAGACAGACTATCTTTGCCGGAACTATGTGTTTAACAACTTGGCAGACTCACTCTATAGTGTGTTTTGTTCCAAGAGCTCAGCAAAAGAATTATGAGAATCTCTGGACAAAAAGTACAGGACTGAGGATGCCGGGGCAAAGAAATTTGTGGTTGGCCGTTTCCTTGATTTTAAAATGGTAGATTCTAAAACTGTGATAAGCCAAGTCCAGGAGTTCCAAGTGATCTTGCATGAAATTCATGCTGAGGGGATGCCTTTGAACGAGTAATTCATTCTTTTGACACAAAAAACCAAAAAGTCACAAAAAAGTCAAAAAATTAACTTTTTACCAACTTCTCAAAATACCACTCAATACCAAAATCATTAACACAATCAATCCATGTTGTGTTCAAATTTTTTTAATAAAAATAAGAGAGAACTAATGTAAGAAAATTTACAGCAGGAAAAAAAAAAAAAAAGTTAATCATTCCAACAAAAGAAACTTTGAATTTTTAATTTTATAAATTTAAACCCTAATGTTTTTAATCTAAACCATAATTCTATTTTCGTTAAATAAAATCGACCGAAAATGATATTTTAATCATTAAATTTAATGTAAGTATATACAAAAAATCTAAAATACTATTTTTTGTTGGTAAAATAGACAGATGGTTTATATTGAAAACTTTAGAAAATAAATTGACAAAATTAAAATTTTAAATTTTATTTTGTACAAGGTTCAAATTTTGAGCCTTTTTTTTGTTTGTAATTTTCCGTAAAATATATAACCATATGAGAAAGAAGAAAAAAAAAACAAAGAACACAGTAGATGATAAGTTAAGAGATTACTCCCCTAAATTGGACCTGGTCCAATTGGTAAATTCGAGGGAAATCTTACCCTATCATTTTTCATATGCTTATTTTATTACTAACCAATGGGATCAACGACAAATTATTTCTCATCATTTTTGCTTTTTTTTAAAGAACACCTCATTTTTAAGAATCGTAACTCCCATAGTATAGAATTTTTCTACTTGTTTTGTAATTTTAGATAAAGTAAAATTCTGATTACAAATTTACTGTTTGAATTTGACTGGTTTATTTTTGGAATTATTGGGAATGAAAGAAAAATTTGAATACAACCAAACAATCAATAATTAAAACACAAATCAAACTTAAATCATAATAAACGAGCATACAAAATTTTGCAAGAATCTATCAACACTATCTATTTCTTTGTTTACAACGAAAAAATATATTAAGGAAAAAGTTAGGAATTATGAAATTTTTTTCATGAAAATGATCATGAAAAATTTATGATTCTTGGATTACCTTGATTAGTGTGTAGTGCTTTATTCTAAGTGTAATTCAAGGGTCACAAAGCTTTCATGATTATTTTCATGAAAGGTTTTTCATGATACCTAGCATTTCTATGGATCTCGAATTTCGTATCGGCACATGAGAACAGGGCATGGAAGTAACCTCTGTTTGCTCCCCAAATTCCTCCAAACACAGCACAAGTCCTGAACTTTTCATCATCTCCTCCACCATTGAACACCACCACTTTCTTCAACCCATCAATGGTGACTTTTGAAACTCCCCTCCTCCTCTGTACAGACCCACCACCATCCTCCATAATCACCACCTCCTCTGCCAACATAGACACCGTCTGATCGTAATTCGTTGTGGTGGTGACTTTGAACCGAGCAGTGACTTGAATCTCACGAGGGTTCCCAAATCGCAACCAATCAAGATCGAACATGGAATCGATGATATGCTGCTTCAGGAGATCGCATAAACTACGATCGAATCCCATGTCGTAGAGTCGGTGGAAAACATAGAATTCGGAAGAAGCGATAGAGGAGAGAAAGTGATAAGGAATAGTGAAGGAATCTTGAAAATCTGGACTAGTGAATGTGGGATAATTGGTATTGATATTGCCTCGAGGAGTTCGGAGCTGTAGTTTGAGAACGTGGGTTATGTGAATTTTGACGAGAACTGGAGTTTCAGGAATTGAGTCGATCCATGGTAATGGATACATCTGAATGTTGTAGTCTGTTGATATAGTTGCCATTGACAAAAGCTAGAAAGAGAGAATGAGAATGAGATTGTTGGAATGGAGATGATGAAGATTAAGATTACTTGATTTTATAGCTGTTTTGAGTTTCCATATTTGAAAACCCTTTTTAGTTTCCTAATTTTGGTTGAGTTTCTACATTTGGAATCTAAGAGGGTAATTTATAAGTAAATTGGGCCGAGCTGGGTAATGGGTCGTTCTGTGGGCCGCGGTAAGAAGGGCTGAGTAGAAGGGCCTAATAGTTAGCTCGGTCTAAAAGAGTCTTGTAGTTAGCTCGGTTTCCACGGTCAGAGCGGTAACAAGTAGCTCAGTCGTATCCTTCTCAACCGAGATAATTTGAGCTTTCCTCAGGACCTTGATATTGGTTAGCTCGGTCCAGGCTTATTATTATTTAGCATGGTCTCAACAGGTAAAACCGAAGTACAAGTAATGAAGGGAAGAACCGAGCTAGTTAGAGCTTGGTCATTTCTGCCAGTATAGCATGGCTATGTTAGCTCGATCGTTTTGTCATACTACTGAGGTAAAACCATCTCACTTGGTTTAAACAGTAAGGGGGGGTGTTGAAAGATAAGCATTATCTTTCTAGAATGTGATTCCTATGAAAACTCTACATGGAGGAACAAGAGTCCTACTAGGATTGTGCCACACGGAACCTATAAAAACTCACAACATCACCTATGGAGGGGTAACATAACTTTGATTCTCGAATACACAAAGCTTTTGTCTATTTGTCTATTTTGCTGACTTAGCCATCGAAGGGGTATCCGGCACACACCTGCCGGGTAGCTCACATTTGTGTTTTCAGGAAGTAAAGCGACGACGTACGGAAAAGCGCAGACTTGATCAACAAGATTATACAAGAACATTATTTCGTACTCGTACAATTGGCACCGTCTGTGGGAAGAACAGAAAGAACAAAACTTCTTGATCAAGTTTTCCTTACTAGAGAAAAGCAATGGCGCACAATAAAGACTTGCTGCAATCAGCCATTGACAGGCAAACTCTGGAGGGGGTGGAAGGCGCGAAGGCTTGCCTTCTATCCCTCCCATGGCAGATTTAGAACCCCAGAGACAAAACCCCCGGGAGAGATACAAGGGGGAGGCGGGCTAACAGCCCCCGTCGCTTCCAAAGTCCTGAGAGACAGAGGCAGAGGATTGACCCTCAAGTTCTGGAAGATCGCATGAAGGAGTAGGACGAGTTGATACGAAGGATGGCGGCGGACATTGAGTCAATGAAGCGCCAGATAAAAGGAAAAGGGGTAGCGATAGGAGAGGGGCGCAAAAGCAACACGTCCCCCTCGCTACTCGGAAGATCATGGTAAGCATACCACACCATCACAGGCGGAGAATAGAAGCCTGAGAACAGGCGACACTCAATCAAGGACTTCCAAGACTCGTTACTCCAGGTCTGAGAGAACGAGAACGAGAACGGAGAGGTCATAAACTGAGGGAAGTACCTATCGGCCTTTGCGCACACACCATACGTCATCCAGGCAGACGAAGTTGCCTAGATCGTCCAATTTGCGAACTGTGCTTGAAGAAAGGGCACGATGGAAAGAGGATACCAGGGCGCGCGACCCGCGCAGAGTTTCAACCCTTCAGCGGTTAGCTCCTCAAACGCATGGGAGCGTCAAGGAGGTAGGAATGCCAATACCGCGCCTTGCTTACGAACCAACAAACAAGGCATTAGCAAGGCTGCAGACCTCGCCGTTCGTCCCAGCGATTAAGAATGCGCCCCTACCTTCAGGCTTCTTTCAACCCAAATTCACCACGTATGAAGGAAAGACAGACCCCTATATGCACTTGAGCCACTTTCGCCAGGTTATGGCAGTATACCGGTGGAACGAGGCTTTGATGTGCATCATGTTCCTATCTAGCCTTGGCGACCTAGGTTTAACCTGGTTCAAAAGGCTACTAGAAGGCAACATCGCCTCCTAGGCGCAATTGGTGGAGGCATTTGTGACTAGGTTCAGAACAAACACCAAGACGCCAGTGGAGATCAATCAGCTACTCTCCATCGACATGGGCGACCAGGAGTCGTTAAGGTCCTACAACAGCCGTCATTGGGAGACCTTCAACCAGATAGGAGATTGCCCCACAAATCTCACCATAGCGCAATACAAAAGAGGTTTTCCAGTCGGGAACAGGTTGAGGGACTCAATTACTATGACATCACCCATTATGATGGAGGCCTTGATGGAGAGAGTGCACCAGCATATACGGGTGGAGGAGGACGGCACCCGTGCTAAAGCGAAATCTGGCACGACAGCAGCACCAGATAAAAAGACTTCGACAAAAGTCAAAATACGGTAGAACGCCCCGGCAGGAATGAACGAGGCAG